AGAGGAAACGTCTTCTCTTGCTACACTCTAAGCACCCACAACTGGGTGCTAAGTAAGCATTGCCTGGCATGTGATCATCACACAAGGGTAACCAGACAAAAGGAAAGTTGGGGAGGATAACGTGAGCAGTCACCCACCAAGAGTCTGATGGCTGTTAGCAAGAGCTGATAGAAAATAGGCAGAGTATAGAACTATTAGCAGCCTCTATGAACCTGACATAAAAGAGCGGATCAGAACAGCAAGGTGGAGCACTTATTATTATCACTATTATAGAAAGAACACAACTATTAGAAACTAACCAAAAAATAAGCCTTCTTCCAATTATTTCCATAAACAGATAAAACCAATTAAAATCAGTATTTACAGAGCCAAATATTTTGATTTAGCAGAAAACTTACCTGTTACACTGCATTCCCTTTAAGCCATTTACCATGCCTGCCTAGCTTCACTTCAACCAAACTTCAGACTTTGTAAACACTAATCCTTCTCCAGACAAATTAGACTTTACCAAATCTGCTGATAGTTTTCCCTAGAATTCCAGATACATTCATAATTTTAATGTTCCCTTTGAGATTAAAGGTCTGAGAGTCACACTGTGAAAATGGACTCTTCCTGAGAGCTTTGTTCACTCAATCAGGACCAAGAAGGACAGCTTCCAGAATGTCCATGCCATCACCAAAAATGAATGGCTGAGAAGGTAACATAAACTAGACAATGGAAGCAGGATGCTGGGGAATGTAGAATGAAGAGATGTTAAGAAATGGAATAAATGAAGCAGTTACAAAGTTCTGGGGCAGTTAAAGGCACTGACCTTCAGATTTCCGGGTGTTACAAAGATCTGGTGATCCACAACAGGCTGAGAGCAGCAGCTTCCCGAAGCCACCAACAGGCACATTCAGTCCTGTGAGGCCAGACTCAGCACTGCCAGTGTGGCAAACAAACACACACATTCTTCTCAGAGGCTGCACATACAACAGGCTCTCTACTGGGGCCTGTTTATTTTAGAAAGCAGATGCTTTGATGTTGGGGTAGAAGTTAAAAAGTTATGTGCAAAGAAGTAGTGACAGGAGCAGCAGGAGGCCCTGTTAATCATAAGTTTTAAAAGTTTTAAGGAAATCGTCAAATGGTCTGTCTATATACAGAGGAATGAGAGGTAAGGAAATTATGTCAGCCACCACTATAACTCTGGCCAAGACATTTCGACTGTTTCTTTAAGACAGAGTTTCATGTCTGCCCTCAAAGGGGTGCTTAGTGGGAGAATGTTTTGAAGTAACCCAACTTAGCAACCAACATTAATAAAATCTTCTAGGCCTGCTCGATTTTTCTCATCTATAAAGGTTATATATGTTATGAGCATTTCCAGCACTTGATGGAAAGAATCAATCAAAAATATGGCCTGGAAATAGTGTAGGGGTAAAAGCAAAAGGAAGCATATTCAGTCTATGAAAATAGTATATATGAATAAACCTTAATAACAAAAACAATAGATAACTGCTTTTTGTGTGCTAAGTACTAGACATTGTTCTAATGAGTTAATACATAATACATTTTATGTATACACTCATTTACTTTTTACAACCATTATCTTGCTTTATAGACTAGGATCTAAGACGGGCTGGACTTATTTCTTATTTATCCAAGATAACAAGTAATATAGCCAAACTGCAAATGTAAACAAGTTGACATCAAAGCCTCCCTATGTGCTATTACTGCCTTTCTATGGTATATAATATCTCCAGAACAAAATTAGGAGGCAATAGTTTTTATAAGGTATGAGTTGTTGTATTTCTCTCCTTTGTTTTCTTGTCATTTTTGTTTTCTGATTTTAGTAATAGCTAATATCACTTCTACTTTCTCATAATACTGTAATGATAAAATCTTTTCTATACTCATTCAAATCCCAAACAGAGCATTTAATCATTATGATATCTATATGAAAAAAAATATGGTGTCCAAAATGAACTCATTAGAAAGTGTTTATATCAAGAATGAAAAGAAAGCATACAAAAGGAAATCTCCTAGACAGAAACAAGGAGGCTTGGGAAAGAGAATAACCTGTTGGGTTTCATGAATGAAGAGGTTTTAGGTGTAGCATTAGGGAACCTAAAACCATACATTGCTTTCTTAATAAGATTAGTTAAACGTTGATATGTTCTCATAAGCCACAGAAATAAGTCTAGAAGATCTGCTAAAAACCTTTTGAGGCTGTTCATTCTCCAATTCCTCATTTATTTTGTAGCTTAACAACCCCACCCCTATCCCAGATCTGAGCCTTTGGAGACCACCCATTTGCTTACATTGATTACAGGAATTAATGTGGCTTGAAAAGAACTACATCAAGTTATAAGACATGAGAAGAGAACAAGAACTTCTGTTTTTTTTCTTGGGAATTGGATCCTGTCATATTACATAGGAAAAAATTACTTAAGTACTTTATTTCCATAGTTGTGCAAAAGTATGCAGTGTTTCTAATAAAACATTATTCTGTCCAGCAGACACTTTCATTTTATACTGTTTATATAAAAGGTCTAAAAATACTAGATCTCTTCAGTACAGTTGAGGAAGTACTATTATTGCTTCTAAAAATACAGAATTGAAAACAAATCATTGTATAACAATTCTTGAGCAATAAAGCAAAACCTGTAAGAGCTATCGCAATCACTTCTATGATGAAGGCTATTAACCAGAGCACCACTTTTTTTTCAATTTGGTATAAGAATTATAAAAAGGATGAGCTCTCTGAGGAAGAGACTACAGAGGAGTGATGATTATCCCTCAAAAAAAAATAGTGATTTTAAATAAGTTACTGAAAGAAGACTAAAGAAAAAAGCTAACAAAAAAATCCCACAAACCCCAAAACAGTAATTAGATAAAAGAAACAGAGGAAAATTCTTTTACATATGGACTTTGAAAATGAGTGGTTTCAGATTCAGTTTTTCAATCTCTTCCTTTGAAATCATTACAAATGACGTTTCATTTGAAATTAACCAGGAAGACTCTGACTACAGGAATAAATCCAGAAATAACTGTAGTTCTAAAATGTAAATCAACTAGCAAGATAAGAACCTAAAACATGTAGTGAGAATGCTGGGTCTGGCTGACTCAAGGCAAATGTGGTCCTGACATAAATTAAGTGCCAGTGTTGTAAAGCCTTTCTCAACGCCCCACTGTGAAAAGGAAGTGTGTGCACTTTTGTTCCTCATGAAACAGGACTTTGCTGGGCTCATTCCACCCCAACTCTACCTACTCCACCCCACCCCACCCTTCAGCACTGGATTAGCTACTTTATCCAGATTGCATTAACACAACTTTCTTTGAATACTCCTGCCTTAATTTCAAGTGGCTTGTGTCTCCAGAAGACAGAAAGACCTAGAAAGATAAATCCAAAAGGACACCCACTAGAATGGAATGTGGTCACACCAGTACAGTGCAGGTACAGAATATCAGCCAATAGGAGCTTGGGATGTCGCTTGGTGGTAGAGCACTTGCCTAGTGTGCCCAAGGCCTTTGGTTCAATCTCCAGCACCATAAGAAAACAATGAAACATCATCTTCTGAGAACTTTGGCCATATACCTTTACCTCTGTGTGCAATTCTATTTGAAGGATACTAAATTGAACACACTAAATTGAAAATGCACTTTCCATACATGTGTTGCAACAATTGTTCATTGGGGGAGGGAACTGAGGAAGATGCCCTAGTTGTACTGAAGCAAGGAGCCAAGACTTTTCTAACAATTTTCTCAACTCAAGTGTGCCAAAGGTTGAACTACTTGTCCCCAACTACTTGTCACAATGTCGAAATTCTTTTGACCTAAAGCAAAGTATCTGCTACGTGTTTCTCAGCTATTGGAAATTTTGTCATAACAGGATGTAGACGTCCAGGTCAGAGTTGGGATACCAGGACAGAAGGTCAATTTTGAAGGAATAAAACAGAGCACATAAATAATATTGTGACTGAGCAAGGGCCCACTGTTGGACACACACAGAAGCCAGTAAGAGAGCACTGTGTTTTTTGTTTTTGTTTTGTTTTTGCAGAGAAAGGCTTATTTTGGATGGACTAAATTCATCCCCTGGATGGGCTTGTGGCTGAGGAATTTAAGTGTTCTGGGTTGAGGGGGGAAAAAAAAGGAGAACGTTGGTTGGTTATGGTCCAGAATCTTGGTGGAACAGTTCAGACTCAGTAAGCGTCAGGTGGAACTTGGGTAAATATTCTGTTCTTTCCTGAAGCTGCTGAGGGCACCCTCATTTCTATCTAATCTAGACCAAGGGGCTCAGTTCTGTTCCCCATGTCCTGGTCATCGGATTTTTGGTTCTGAGAGCCTTTCATGGTCATTTCAGGTAGGGTGTTAAGGGTTCTGTGCCTACATCCCCCAAAGCATCTTGAACAATTTGTGGGGGGGGAGGGGGAGCTGGGAAGTTGTTTTATGGTTTGGTTTCAAACTCACCTCGTTTCCTTTAACTATTAAAATACACACACCGTGGCCTAACCACTGCTTTGGGATTTCTGAACAACCACTTTATCACCCCCCCCCCAAAGTACTGACCCAGAGAGGGCACGCCTCTGCTTCTGCGCAGCCCAACTTCTTCTGCAAGCACTTAAGACCTAATTAGTCTTCCAGCTTCCTGGTAGGTAATCGCGTGAGTGAATCTGGTTGTTTATACAGACGGAAAACAATGACGCTCAAGAGATTTTGACAACTTAAAAAAAGAAAGAAAGAAAGAAAAAGAACGCGGTGAAAGTCCAAGATTGCCTCTCCTGTGACGAAACACAGCCCTAAGGGCCTCAGCGTCCCCCCCCCCGCCGCCTAGGGCCGACTCCTGCCGCCTGCCCGCCGCGGTTTCGGGCCGCGGCCCGGGAGTCTCCTCCGGGCGGAGACGCCAGGCGTGCGGCGCGGGGCAGGAAGAGGGGCCGCTGCCGGAGCACGGCGCACGGCCGCGAGGGGGCCAGGGGCGGTTCCGCCCAGCGCGGGCAACGCCCGGGCCCCCTGCGCTCGCTCACCTGGTGGGTGTTGTTGGCCAGCTTAGCAACGAAGTCCCGGACCTGGCCGCAGTCCTCATCCTCGCTGGGCGCGCTGCGGCGCCAACGGCCGCCGCGGGGGATCGGGCCCCCGGCCGCGGCTGCGCGCAACCCCCAGCTCACCCCGACGGGGCCAGACCAGCGAAGCGGTAGCGAAGCGGGTGGCGGGGGTGCGTCCAGCCGGTCCAGGCCGAGCGTCGCCGGCGGCTGCAGCTGCAGGAGGAAGAGGAGGAGGAGGCCGAGGGGCCAGCGCGAGAAGCCGTCCGCAGCTCCCCGGGGCCGCTCCATCGCCGCCGAATGCCGACGCCGCTGACACCTGTCACCCGGCGCGCCCGCCCACCCCCGCCGGCGCTGCGCCACACCCCCGAGCCCGAAACCCGGCGCTCCTTGGATACGCGCAGCCGGGCCTCTGCGCCCCCATTGGATGGCCGCCTGTCCTTCTTCCAGAGCCCACTTCTTATTGGCTAGCGTCGCCTCCAGATTCGGGGGTCCTGGATTCGGATGCCAAGATGCGGGACTGATTGGCTGGAACGTGGCAGAAACGGCTGAGGTCATTCCCCACCCTCGTCCGGCGTCTCCGGGGCCCGGCTTCCAGAGTTCGCCGGGGTTTTCCCCCACCTTCCCACGAATCCCTCTGTGTGGCGGCGCCTCGACCCCCTCGCTGCCTTTTCTGGCCCCCACAAGTTAAGGACTGGTTACTCCCCCTCATTTCCCCCAGAAACACTCCTGAAATCCCTTCGGTTGAGGCAGCGTCTGGAGTATCTCAGGGAATCCCTGCACTCGCCCGGCTGGAAAGGGGAGTGGGGGGGGGATCGTTATGAACTGGTGCTCGGGTTTTTAACCCCCTGCTCGCTGGAGCATCCATTGTCTGCCGAAACAGCCGCCTTGCTGCCAAGGTGAATGCGCAACCCCCCCCTCCCCCCACGGAGGCAGATAGACATCAGGACGTCCGTGACTCAGGCAATCCTGAAGAAAAGTCTTGCTTCTCTGGCCTTCCTCTTCTACAGAGAGGTAGGCCACAAGCGGAACTCCTGGTTTTCCTGGACTTCGAATGTGGTGTAGCTTAGGCATCAGGGACAGGTTAACGGCAGGAGGTGCGAGAGAATTGACCAATGCCTACTTTATACACGATCATCTCATAGGTAGCACATTTATCTTTACCGCAATGTCCTTAATTATGGCAGTGAGTGCATTGCACTAGTTTGGTTCCAGTATGTGATGTCCCTCTAAATTAGCACTCTAATAAATAACACCCCCCCCCCCATACAGTTTGTTCCCTTTGCAGTAGATAATCTGCACACAACCACTTTGAGAACATGCAGTGCAGGTAAAACCAGTTCCAAATTCTTAACCCTTTCTCCATCTCTTCCCAATGCTACAAGTTTTTCAGTAGAAGAGATAGCAACTAGATTCAAAACATGTAAAATGTTACACCTCAAGAAAGCAACTGAAACAATTTTACCTATAAAGTAACAATCCCAACACAGGATATATTCGCTACAGAGCAAAAAGTAATGAACCCCATCCAAAATTTATGTCAAAATATTAGTCACATTAGTTTCAGAAAAAGATTTACAAATGTATGTCCTTCCCCCCAAATATAACACAGTGAGACATGATGAAATGAGAGATGAAAAGTTTCTGAATGCCATCTAAGCAAGATGGAAAAATCACCAGAGAAGTCTTCCAAGTTCTCAGCTGGAGACCTACTGGAAATAACAAGATAAAATAGATGAAATGATGAACAATGTGTTCCTGTCTTCAACTACTACGTGTCAAATTAATTTTTAAAGATACAGATTAGTTTTAAAGCTATGCCAACTATAGAGTAGATCACAAGGCAGTCAGTTCCAGTGGCATGTGACTGGTAATAGGGTGGGGGGAGAGAAGTGAGGCTATAAAGGAATATTTCTTTGTTTCAGTGACACAAAGATGAATGGTCTATTGTCTTCTTGTCTGAAAATAAAGGCAACTCAATAGTGCCACCTCTTGGAGAAATTATCAGATACACATTTTAGCTATTAAGTTAGTTGCAGTTGTTTGTACTACCCTCACTTTATTTGCTTTTGACAGGGTCTTGCCATATAACTCAGGCTGGTGGACAACTCCTGATCCTCCTGCCTCATCCTCCCAAATGCTAGGACTATATCTGGCTCAACATTATTGCATGATTCATGTCCTCATTCCTTTTGCTTTTATTATTTTTATTCTTATTCATTTATTTTTGGCGGTTGTGGGGCCTGAACTCTGGGCCTGGCCTGGGTGCTGTCCCTCAGCTCTTCAGCTCAAGGCTAGCACTCTACCACTTGAGACATAGCACCACTTCGGGCTTTTTCTGCTTATGTGGTGTTGAGGAATCAAACCCAGGGCCTCATGCATGCAAGGCAAGCACTCTACCACGGAGCCATCTTACCAGCCCTGCTTTTATTTTTTCAGACAGAGTCTCATTAGTTTGCCTAGGCTGCTCTCACACTAGGATCCTTCATCTCCTCAGAGCTGGGATTGCAAGTGGGCACCAGCACACCTGGCCTCACCCTGCTTTTAAGTTCATGCCACTATATTCTTACAGTGTACATTTCCTCAAACCATAAGATCCTAGGAGCATGACAGTGAAAGGATTTTTTTTTTGCAGTGCTAAGGATTACATATATAAATGTCACACATGTAAAATATGTAAATGTGTAGCATGTAAAATGTCACGTGTAAAATGTCAAATTCACTACTTAAAACTGTATTTTCTCTAAATAAATATAGCAGACAACTGATATAAAGCAACCTACACAACACTAAAAACATTGCCTTTCCTAGTAACATCATTTGACAGCAAACCTTGCTTCAACAGTTTACAGAAAATTGAAATTCTCCTTAAAGAATGCACATTTTAATAACAGAGGGCATGACTTTTGTTTCCTCAGTCTATGGTATGTAAAATCCCAGGCAGTACAAAAGAAGACAGTTTTTATTTTCTTCTTATGCCTGTTCTGGGGCTTGAACTCAGGTTAGGGGAGCTATGTTGAAGGCAAAGCCCTCTATTACTGAGCCACACCTCCATTTTGGGGGGAGGGGGAGCTGGCCAGTCTTGAAGCTTGAACTCTGGGCCTGGGCACTGTCCCTGAGCTTTCATGCTCAAGGCTAGTACTCTGCCTCTTGAACCACAGCCCCACTTCTGGCTTTATGTGGCTAACTGGAGATGATAATCTTGTGGATTTTCTTGCCCAGGCTGGCTTCTAACTGCTATCCTTAGATCTCAGCCTCCTGAGAAGCTAAGATGAGCCACTGATGCCCACGAGGGAAGAGGGAAGACAGTTTAAGCTGAAGCAGAGAACTAGGTTAAAAACTATTGCTTGGTATTCTTGTCCTGTATAATTCATGTGTTTGACATAACTCAGATCTCCAAACTAGCATGTGCTTTCTCCATTTCTACATTATACTAGTGTTAAAAGGGAAATTTATTGCTCAATTCTTCCCACTAGATGTAAATTTCAGACCATATGGAGACCAAGAACATTTTCATAACTTTATCCCCCACAAATGCCCAATGCATTACTTAGCATATAGGAAGTAGGTTCTCAATAAACTTGTAAATGAGTAATTGAAGTTGAGGTAGAACCTTTTCCAATGATGTTTTCTATTAAGATTTAATAAAAGTGATCATGAGTTAAACAAATCTCATCATTAACACGTTATATATAACATGATTAAAATCACTAAAGTTTCTAGGAAATTAATAATATACTCTAGTTTTCTAGGTTTGTTCTGTGTGTCTAGGACAGATTTTGTTCCCAGTATTTCCTGTCATTGGAGTTTCCAAAATGATTGTAGATACAAGTTTATTGCTGGAACTACAGTATGAATTTAGTCTACTCAGGAGGTTACTATTTATTTTAACTTCAGAGTGCAAGTACCTAATGAAAATATAGAAAAGCCTTGGAAAATAGTCTGGGGATCCTCATAAGTGAATTATCATCAATTCTTCATCATCCACTTATATGGTGTGGATGGTGCAACTATATTTCAAATCTCCATGACATTTCCCTGTTACTCAAAAGCTGGTGATGTGAAGCCAGAAAATCTGAGTTTAAGCTCCAACAACAATTTTCTGTGCATGATCACAGAGCCTTAGATTCTTCATCTAGCTAGTGATAATGCCTATATAATACCTATGTCCTATGGCCATTTTTGATGCATAAATTATTCTTTAATAGTCTAAGACAAACTGCTTCTGAATTTTACATTTACTGATAAGGCTGAGATTTGTAATTACTAGTGAGGCCAAGATCACTTTTTTCATGTCAACTTCATAAAAAGGGAAGCATTTCCAAACCGTCACCACGATACAATTAACAGCTTTAACATGGTAGATGGTTTATCCCAACTCATCAACAACCCCCAAAAAGCCACTGAGTAGCATCCCGTTCATGATAGCAATAAAAATATATATTCATCTAAGAGAATTTACACAAATGTAATGGATTTACAGAGTATTAACATCAACTACCCACTAGGAGGAGCTGGATTAGCTTGAGTTCATTTTTCATCACCCAGGGGACTCACGGCAAAGTTAACTATGTTGTAAATAATTTTAGAACAGACACTCTCACAGGAGAGGGATATTAATACCACTGTCCATCCACTGATGAACATAACCATTTCAAATAAAAGACTGTATCGTAAGAACACAGACCACTAACAAATACTCTAAAATTTTCTTTTATTTCAGAACTGCCTTTATGTACAGACATCATTAAAAAAAAATGAACACATACTAGAGATTTTCCAAGGAATTGGAGCTGGGAATAAAATTTAAGGGCAATTAGGAAAACTGAAAATGTCCCAAAGAAGTTCTGAAGATCACTCTTCCTTAAATGCTTAAATGTCCTTGATAACCTCTTCAAGTTCTTCCTTTGTGAACATGTGGAAATTCTGGCCAGGCTGCACTGTGGCTAGCTGGAAAGGAAACAGAAAGGGGTTAATAAGCTGGGCTCAATTCCCTGTTGACAACCTTTGCATGGTCAGGAGGAGCTGTGCTGGTGAGGCAGCTGTTCACTAGGAACTAAGGGATCTGCTGTCCCAGGGGTGTCCTTTCCAGGCAGCAAGTCCCTAAAATAGCTCTGACTCCAGAATAAAAAATTTCTTATTGACCAAATTTTCTATTTTGAGGTTAACCCACTATATAATAGTTAACCAAATACCTGGCATCCTTTCTACTTTTTTGAAGTTACTTCAATAAAGAGCTGGAAGTATGGCCAACATGGTAGCTGAGGTCAAACCCCAATACCAACAAAAAACGGGAAGAGAAGGGGAAAAAGGAGAAAAATAATTTTTAAAAATTATTAAAAGCACATTTATATACTTCCAA